CATTTGATACAATTTTAGAGTTTTATAAGATTTCATAATGGTTTAATTTATATCTGAATTTGCACATTTTCATTTTTCATATATAAATCGTTGTTAGCGTATTAATTAATATATTAATAATGCATCAAAAATAAACTTATTTACTTATTTAATGAAATTAAATAGAGAAAATAACCTCAGTGACCAAAAATGTTTTATAATATACGAATTTAACCAACTTTTTTTAGATTTACCAAAATGACCAACAAATTCGCAACGCGAATTCCAATTTCGCAACCCAGTTTCCAATTTCGTAACGCGAATTTGTAAATCGCAACGCATAAGTCAAATTCGCAACGCGAAAGTCAAATATTTTTACGCGAAACACAATATTAATTTCTCAACACAAATGTAAACAGTATTATCGCAAATCATCTCTAACCTAAAACCCTAAAGCACAACACGTAAATTCAATTTCTTTGCAATACGTAACATTGGAGTTTCATAAATTAACTTTTTTTAATGACAGTTTTAGTTGAAGATTCATGGGTAAAAGCACATATTGTAAAATACCATGAACATTCTTTCATGACCCTCTAAAACACAAATCTATCCAAACATGATCAACATTAGATGATTTCATTCTAAAAATTGTAAATTAATTTACTAAACAAACGAGCTATAAACTAGATATCATCACTAACTTAGAGAAAAACATACCTTTATTAAGTTGATAGTTGATAATTTGGGAGAGAAATCATTGAAAAATTATATAGAAATAAAATTATGTAAAAAAAATAGAGATGAGGAAGGATGTCGTTGGATATAGGAACGGATGTCGCCGGAAAGAGTGATAGATGGAGATAGAATGAGTTGCGATTTAGGGATTTAGGTTATGAGTTGTTGATGTTGCGTTGTTATATATCCAAAACATTTGTGTTGCGAAATTAAATTCGCATTGCGAATTTGAAATTCAGTTGCGAATTTGGAAAATCGTAATGCGATTTACATATTCGCGTTGCGAAATTGGAAACTGAGTTGCGAAATTGGAATTCGCGTTACGAATTTGTTGGTCATTTTGACAAATCTAAAAAAATTAATTAAATTCATATATTATAAGACATTTTTAATCACTGGGGTTATTTTCTCAATTAAATATTGCATTTGATTTGGTGAACTGAATTAAACATATTGGACGCAGTTGTACGGTGGGGGTTGGTAGTAGCGAAAAAAGGGAAAACTCTCGTTACCTAACCACAACTATCCAACTACTCATCAATGTGTATTATAGGTATAATGATAAAAAAACCCTTAATATTTTCTATTTTTCAATTACACCCTTAAACTTTTCAATTTAGTTAATCAAACTCAAAAGTTTCTTTTCTTTTCAGATAAGGTCAACATCTAAAGGTAAATATATTTTTTTGATATGACGTAACAACATTAAGAGTACAGTTTAAAAAAGCACATGTTAAAGTTTTTTTTTCTTTTCTTTTTCACCATTGATTTGTAATTTTATTTTAAATTTGTGAATTCATTTTAAGTATTATTTGTTTTATATGAAATAATGTTATTTGAAATATTATAAGAAATAAAATTAGACTAAAAATAGTGTGACAATATAAATAAGAAAATTATATATATTTATAAAATTTTATTTTTAATCGTTTAAACTAAAACTAGTGTGAGATTATAAATAAGTAAATGTCAAAGTTTTTCTTTTTGACTATTTTGAGTGGATTTAATAGATTTTGTAGAAAATTAATTTTAGGAGAAGGAATAGGAGTGAAATGCGAATGATTTAATACTGCTTTTGCTGCAAAAGACGATCGGTGATTGATTGCTAACAGAGACCAGAAAGTGAAATGCCAAAAAAAGTAAATAGCAAAATTGACACACTTTTAAAGTTTATTGTCTAAAATGATATTGTTTTAGGCACAAAGACAACTTCGTTTTGGTTTGGCAGGCCACGTTAATAGCCACAAGTCATGTCATCGTCTTGTTACTATATTTAACGATCGAGTGACATAATTAAATATACAATTAAATTTAATATTATAATTAGTAAAATTACAAGTTTATTGGTATAAACGAGTCAGCAATCAAATTTTTGTGGTATATAATGTAATTTACCCTAATGTTTAATACTAAAATTAAATAATTGAAAATTACAAGACATATCGCGTAAAATATATAAAAAAAAACAAATTAATTAATTAAAAGGGGCAAGAACCGACGTGTAGGACCGGGAAAATCTAAAAGCGTGAAAGGCCATCAAATTTGGGTCACATCGGTCCACCTTGGCTTTCGAGGAATCCGCCGAGTTCATTATTAGGTTTCATTTTCCTCGGCTACACGACAATCTCACAACTCCGTGATTCACACAGTCCCCCACTTGTCTTCATCAAATATTTCACATCTTCTTAGGAAATACCTACATTTAAATAATAATAAAATTTATATTTATTATTTAAATTTAAATAAAAGGTAGTATATAATTTTAATTCGAATTAGATTAATTTGAAGTTTATAATATCTTATTTGGAATTCAATTCATTTTAAAATATATATATATTTTAAAATTTTCTATATATTTTTTATTGATAATATATTTTTGATTCATCTAAAATTTTATAAATTCGCTTTTCTCTTTATCTTTTTAAATTGACTATCTTCTAAAATTTTATAAATTTGTCTTATTTTTAAAATTTAATAAATTCGTATTACTAATATAAAATCATGAGTCCGTCCCTAATTTACACGGAGCTACGCATAAAATCTACATTATAAACTTAATACTTTTTTAAACTGTTATAAAAATATTATTTTAATCGTTTTTTCTAATATGTATGAACATTTTTCTCATTTTCAGTGTAAAGGATAAAAATGTGACGTTTTTACCTAAAATTCACTCCGACAAGTTTTAGTAATATTAAGGAAATAGTTGTGTTTTGTTTGTTGGAAAAAAGGTAAAATTTAATTAGCTAATCATTTTCATTTTTTATTTTTTAAAAAATTAAGTCCTATGACCATAAAAAAAATCACGTGCCTTTCACACTTATTATTTTCTTCAAATAATTATTTTTTCCTTTTTTAATAAAATTTTTCATTAAATCCTGAAAATAAGATAATAAAATACATTTTTTCTTCAAAAATAATAATGAAAAATAGTGTCAATAAATTGTCTCGTCTCTTGATTTTGTCATTATTTAACCAATAATTTTTGTATTGAATACGTTTTTAAATTTAATTGAGCTTCAAAATTATTATTAGATACATTGAGATAATACATATATATATATCGACTATAAAATTATTATAAATCTATATTTTAATATGTTTCTGATACGATGATTGAATGGATAATTAGTGAATTCTTATAAATCAATGTTGTTTTAAGGGGATACGTTGCTTAAAAGGATGACACACATTTAAAGATTCACTAGCATTAACTCATTAATTTTTTATTAATGTGAGATGTCGGTAAAAGAATACAAATTAATGACTCAATTATCAAAATAAAACGAATTAAAAATATAATAATAAAAATATTTTTTTGAAAAATCAATGATAAAAAACTTAATTATCAAGATCAACGTCGATCTTGTTTAGGGTAAACATCACTAGTTTACTGGTTAAATAATGACAAAATCAAGGGACGAGACAAAGTTTATTGGCACTATTTATTATTATTATTATTATTATTGAAGAAAAAATGTATTTTATTATCTTATTTCCAATATTTAACGAAAAATTTTATTAAAAAGAAAAAATAATTATTTGAAGAAAATGATAATTGTGAAAGACACGTGATTTTCTTTATGATCATAGGACTTAATTTTTTAGAAGATAGGAAATAAAAATAATTTGCTACTTATTTTTTTTTTTGAAAATAAAACAAAACAAATCTACTTCCTTAGCGTTTTTACACAAAAATCACCTTAACATAAATTAATTACTTGTCAAACACCATTTCATAAAATTTTACTAATCTAGCACCCATCCTAGAAAGGCACGGATCATCATCTGTGCTTTATCCGAGTTTTCGTCTTAATGTAAGAGTAAGACGCAGATGATAATCCATATCTTTCTGCAAATGATGCTAGATCGATAAAATTTTTTGAAATGGTACATGACATGTAATTAAAACTTGTCATAGTGATTTTTGGGTAAAATCGTCTAAAAAATGATTTGTGTTATAATACAAGGACCCACGTCGTATTTGTACCAATGATTTTCAAATTTATATAAAAATAAGTAAATAAATAAAAATTGGTACATCAAATATAAATGAATTCTTGAAATTAAAGGATTTAAGAATTATCATTACTCAATTTATGAAAATAAATTAATTTTTGAGAACTTCTATTTATTTTTATATTTATTTTTCTAAAATAGAAGAGAGAAAAATAAACGAATATCATGAATCATATATTTATTGGACACAATTTTTAACCGACAACCTAAAATTAAGAATACTAAACACATACCTATTTTAATTAAAAAGTAAATACTAAATAAAAAAAAACATAATTTAAATACTTAATTTTTAATTAAATCAAAATATATTATAAAAATGAGAGTAAACTATATGTTTAGTACTTAAACCGTTACTTTTATTCCATTTTAGTATCTAAACTTTATTTATTTTTTTAAATTATACCTAACATTTAGTTTATGTTTTATTTTTATACTCGTCGTTAAAAATTTAACAGTGATGTTGATGTGTCATAATAAGGTAATATTACATTATCATTGAAAAATAAAAATATCACACCAGTAGTTTTGTTAATTTAATGACGGGATACCAAACTGAAACCTAAACTAAATGTTAGGTATGATTTTGGAAAAAATAAAGTTTAGGTACTAAATAGAATACAAACAATAATTTAAATACTAAACATGTAATTTACCTCACAAATTAAAACATGTCATTTTCACGATTCGATTATTATTAGATATGTCACATTTATTCTAGTGCCTGCTCTCGAAAGCCAAAAGCTTCTCTTCTTTCTCCTTACAGTTTCTACTAGGGTTTTTTATTTATTTTTTATTCCTCTCTGAAAAGCTTTTGCAATGGCTTTTCCTTCTCTCATTAGATCCACCGCCGCCACCGCCGCCTCCGTTCGATCTGACCTCTCTCTCTCAACCTCCGATCGTCTCAAGGTCATCACCTTTCCTCCGATCAGCATCGTGTATTGCTTTCAAAAGAACTCAAGCTTTTTTTTTCTCGTATTTTCTCTTCCTCCGGGTTTTTAAAGGAAAACAAATACTAAGAGATGAGCTGAGCTGAACTTAAGCTGAATGATTGAAAATTGTGCAACATCAAATCATTTTTTATTGTTGTTATTTTTCTAGGACGTTTTCTCGGTAGCCAAACGGAGTCTTAATAATTGCAATAAAGATTCATCCAACTCTTATTTAGTTTTTTTTTTCTGGGGGTAGGTGGTTTTTTACAGTGTTACGTTTCGATTTTTTTAATGACTGAGCCTTGTTTGTTAACTCGTTTTCGTTATGTTGATGAATTTATGAAATTCTGAATACTCGTGTAAATTATATTTTATTTAACTTAAATTTATTTTTGAGTTCATTTTTTCCGTTGATATTTTATTGTTAGGTGGTAATTTCAATGCACTTTTTATTGGCAATCTGAATGTTAATGCGATATTATTTAGGTTTCAAGCATTGAATTTGGCGGAAATTTCAACTCCTTTTTTGGTGTTGCAGTTTCGAGTAGATCTTCTTCCTTACAGTTGAGTTACACTATTGGCCGTTCAGTTTTTTTTTTCTTATTGTGCAAGTTTTTGGTCTTTTCTCTCTCCTCTGATACTCATTTTTTTAATTTAGAAGCTGCAACTCAAGGAGTATCCGACCCATCAAAGCCACCGCTACTGAAATTCCTCCTACAATTCCGAGTAAGAATTGTTAATTTATTTTAACCCTTGGGAAGCGTAACAAGGACGACAAGAACGTATTTAATTATTTTGATCTTAGTTCAGAAGTTGAATGAACCGATGTTCTGCTTTTGGCTTGTTTACAAATTTGTCTAGAGTCACGGAGCAGTGGGAAAACAAAGATTGGAATCAATGGTACGTTCTGTTAATTTGATTAAAGGTTTTCTCTGCTTTATTTTGTTGGTTATATGCATCTCTGACATGGTATTTCTTTAATCAACGTAAAAATGATTTCTATTCAGTTATCGTGCACATTTTAGTTGTTGAGACTTGCGAGTATACTTGTCTGATAGAAAAGGACTAGCATCCCTTGCTTATCTCATGTGGTAAATGTGGACCTGTGAATCGAGGTTTTTGTAGGTATCTTAGGCTCGTGGTACCCAATCTTTCCCGGGAGACAAAAGGCTGTGAAGAACTGCCGTTCATGCTTCATCTATAATATTAGCCTGTCGTTAATGTATTTTGACCTTTAGTTGTTTTTGGTCTAATGTGTCTTTTTGAGGTAGGTGGAACTAAAAACATTTTTGGGATATTGTTGGATGGGCCTGTTAAGCATGTGGACTAACGTGGGAGAGAATAATAATTCTGTTAAAGAAATTGTTTTTGAGTCCTACAATGCTAAACCAAGTACCTTGGTTCAAGTCTCTGGTTCTCTATATAGCTTGATGTGTCCTACTTTGCTGAACTCTTTTTTTTTTGCAATGAACCTATGCAGGTTTCGGTCGGATTGGAAGGTTGGTTTTACGAATAGCAATTTCAAGGGATGATATCGATGTGGTTGCAGTCAATGATCCTTTTATTAATGCTCAGTACATGGTGAGTTTGTGCATCTGCGCTTTTAGATTTGGTTTTAAGCCTTTTATTACTTATTTTGTTTGGCCAGGTTTATCAAAGATGTCAACAATTCTTAACACGTCCAGTATCTTAATTCTCTCTTTTTTTATTATTATTATTATTATCCAGGCTTATATGCTTAAATATGATTCAACTCATGGACCCTTCAAGGGGAGCATCAACGTTGTGGATGAGTCCACCTTGGAAATCAATGGCAAGCAAATACATATTGTGAGCAAAAGGTAATATTCTGGAGATTTTGTCCTTGAAAGATTGAATGGGATTTGAACTCGCTTCCCTGGAATGTGTTAATCTCGTGGAATAAAATATACAAATTATAACATAAAATTCTGTTACTCGGTTCCGTTAAAAATTGCTAGTAAACTATCTCATCCTGGAATAACATATAAGTAATATCCACCAGGGACCCTGCAGAGATCCCTTGGGGTGATTATGGGGCTGAATTTGTTGTCGAGTCATCTGGTGTTTTCACCACATTAGCTAAGGCTTCGGCACATATAAAGGTTAGTAAATATTGGTTTCCTGTCATCACATTGCAGAAGCACACCTGTCAGTTCATGCACTTCTAAATATTCTCCAAATTAATCTTTCATTACTGTTTTGAAGGGTGGTGCCAAGAAAGTTGTAATTTCAGCTCCTTCAGCGGATGCGCCGATGTTTGTGGTGGGAGTGAATGAGAAGACCTACCAACCAAGCATGGACACAGTTTCTAATGCTAGTTGCACTACCAATTGTCTAGCTCCACTTGCCAAGGTCTGGTTGCATCTTCCAATTTTGCTTTTGTATGTTTGAGTTTGAAGCAGATGGCAATTCCATATGCCAGTATTTTACAGTATTAATTAATATGGCCATTTTCCTCATGAAGCATCTGATTTGCTTTTCTTCCTTTTCTTTGGTAGTTTTCCTCAATTTTTGTGGTGTAACATGTTGCAGGTTGTCCATGAGGAATTTGGTATCGTTGAGGGATTAATGACTACTGTCCATGCAACTACAGGTATCCGGTCATTATCTGCCCGTAATTTTTTTTTTAGTTGCACATGATACTGCATTTTATGTTAATGTGTTTTTTAACATCCAGCAACTCAAAAGACTGTTGATGGCCCTTCAATGAAGGATTGGCGAGGAGGTCGAGGAGCTGGCCAAAATATCATCCCTAGTTCAACTGGTGCAGCTAAGGTATGAGAGAGAAATAGCCAAATTTATTCCATCTACTATGGTTTTAAAATCAATTTATGATTTCTGTGTTTTTCTTGTAGGCTGTTGGAAAAGTTCTTCCTGAACTTAATGGAAAGCTTACTGGAATGGCATTCCGTGTCCCTACACCCAATGTTTCTGTTGTGGATTTAACTTGCCGACTTCAGAAGAGTGCCACCTATGAAGATGTCAAAGCAGCTGTAAAGTGAGTTTTCTATGTTTGGCTTGCGTATCATCTTGTGTTCCCCTCCTCTCTTCATCATTCATTACTGCTTTTGTTTTTTCTTTCTATATTTCTCATATTTCCCCCATATTAATTTAGTGTATTTCACATTCATTTGAACTCTAAATTAACTTTTAAATGAAGGCATGCTGCCGAGGGGCCACTTAAAGGCATTCTTGGATATACAGATGAAGATGTTGTCTCTAACGATTTTGTTGGTGATTCAAGGTAATCTTTTTTCTCCCTCTCTCCAACATTGCTTTTATTGTGATATGATATATTGTCTACTTCATACAAGGCGTGGAGGTTTACAGGTATTTCGAGTATAATTTTAGCATGAAAACTCCTAGTGTGTTTGTCAACCGTGTCCCGCATATAGTGTTTGCTTTTCAGAAAAAAAGAGCCATTTAGTTATTTATTTGTCTTTCCCTGACAATTGTGTAATGATTTCTGGTATACCATAATGTTCTAAAACGGGCTTGTTTTGCCCATCCCAGATCTAGCATTTTTGATTCCAAAGCCGGAATAGGGTTAAGTAAGTCTTTCATGAAGCTTGTTTCGTGGTATGACAATGAATGGGGTTACAGGTATGTTTCAAGCTCTCTCTCTTGCTCGCTTCTTTAGACATATCAGTACATCTATTTCTCTCTCTCAGCAACTCCAGTGCACATACATACTTGACCGAGACACCTGCTGTTTTTCTGATGGTTCTTTCTTGAAATTCCTTTACAGCAACAGGGTACTTGACCTAATTGAGCATATTGCACTGGTAGGAGCAAACCACAACTAAAAGTTTTAGAGGTATGCTGTTACAAATGAGTGACATTGCGATTTTATTGTAGAAGTTTGTCCCAGAGCGTAGGCATAAATTCGATAGTACCCTGATGTGTTTTTCTTTTTTCGATTTGGATTGCATATCCGCTGAAGAGTCGGGCATCCGATAACGCAATTCTAAAAATAATGAGAATTTCACACTAAGATTGCTTGTTTTATGGCCAAAAAATAGGAGGCATTGTCTTTGTGAGAAAACGTTGTTGAGCAATTTCTTATATCTAGAAATCTATGCAAATCTGGTTTTATCATCTATGTTAATTTATTTGTTATAATGATATGTTGGTTGGGGAGCATCCAGATATTTGGAAGTTATATTCTTCGGTTCGGGTGACCACCGTCACCGCTGTCACCAGCGCCACCGATCACCGCTCTTTCAACCCTATTGACTCCAACCACCTCATCCCCTCTGAAACAACTGAACACAGTCCCACTTTCTCACCACCCAATCCGAATCTAATGAACCTTTCATTGTAATTTCCAAATCTATGTTGTGAAGCATGGCGTTTGAAGGGAGTGGGAGTTTCTTATATAATCCTTTGTCCAAAAGCCCTTGCACTTCTTCGTCCGAACATTCCTTGCTCTCTCAAAACCATTAAAACCTAGTGCGATGGCCCTCTCGGTGCAGCCGCCGGCAGAACAGCTATAGTTTCCTTTTATAATTTGAAAGAGTGCTTGTCCCATACATGTTTCGTGTGTTCTTTCTTCAATTGATGCTTCTTTGGCCTTTGCTTTCACTTCTATATATACACTTTGAAATAGAAATTGCAGGTTATTTTTTTTAACTTTATGAATTGAAGGATGTATTTAAATATATTTATAAAAAATATAGATGAATGGTTATAGATTAAGTGATAGAAATTTTTTATATAAATTTAATATTATGTTTATTTTTTAAGTGATACATTTTATAATTCATATTTCGAGTCGAATTTAATTATTTACATACAAGTACTTTTATTCCCATTTAATCCGGATCTCATGGGTATGCCTAAAATCACAATTAAGCACCAAAGTACCATCCAATCTCCTCAAATCAAACCTCTCCACCAACACATAACAATCAAATCTCCTCCAGCCACCGCCTTTGCCCCCACCAATCTCAACCACCTTCTCAACCTTCTCAACCCCATCAACCCACACTACCGACTCCTCCCACCACCTCATCCCCTCAAAAACCACCGAGCTCAACCCGATACCACCCAATCCGATCTGAACGAACCCTTCATTAACACATCCTTCACCTCTCACCACTTGGCAAGAAATCAACCTCCCCTCTTTATCTCAACACTCAATGCCACAACATCGCCTTTCCTGCCCCCACCATCATTCTCCCATGAATATATTTTCTCCCACAATCTCTCCAACGACACATTATAAAACAACGATTTCTCCATTTGTACTTTCAAAGAACAATCTTTAACGAATACGAATGGCTTGTACCATTTTCCGACGATCATGTTTGTTCCGGTAAGTCGAGCCCTTCAGCATCGTCTTGTAAATGATACACTTTCGTTTGTCAAGAAAGCATGGAATCTGAACCTCAGGAATCTGGGGGGCAAATCGAGAGAAACAACGGGTTTTGCAATAAAGGAATCTCTGGCTGTGCTGCAGATTTCATACTGTTGGGATTCATCTCTGTGATCAAAGGGTTTTGGTTTCATGTCTGGTATGAATCTTCCTGAGCAACAGTAACTCGTTGTCTTCAGTTGCACAATGGCATGCTAACCTGTTTCAGAGTTTCATTAAAGCTTTTGAGTAGGCAAAGAATGCTACGTTTGGTTTAATTTTAATTCCAAACTTTTTCACCATGGCTTTATTCTAAATTAATCTATAAATATTAGAACATTCTATATTAATCTTCAAACTATCATTGTTCTTCTATTTTGGTCATTCTGTTAACGTGTCGTTAACTCGACTAATGAGTTAAAAAATTCACTATGTTTTTGAAGGTCATGAGAATGGAATTCACAATCTTCTAACAGATTCACATAATCTTGAAAACAAATTAATTTTTTTATGCAATAGAGTGAATAACATGTTAATTAAATAATCAAAATGAAATGATACTGATAGTTTGATAATTGATAAATAAATTATTGTCTTAGAACGTCACATACCAATTTCTACGATCTTAAAAACAAATTATTTTTTAACAAGTAGAGTTAACGACACATTAATGGAAGGAACAAGATGAAATATCTTGTTAGTTTATAGATTGATATAAAATATTTTTAAATGTATATCATAATTATTGTATATTTTTATGTAGAAGTCGATTATTAAACCAACAAATAATATATCATAATTATCTCTTAAAAATGTACGAATCAAATTCCGAACTCAATTTCCTACCTTAAAAACAAGTAAAAAGGAAGTGAGAATTACCCTTTGTATTTTCCATTACCATGAATGATATAGTAGCGATTGGAAGACAAAGGCTGACCAAGAACCGGGATGAAGAAGAAATACCTTCTCACTGCATCAAAGTCAAGCTGAAATAACATAGCGTTTGAAGGCAGTGGGAGTTTCTTAAACAATCCATTGTTGATAATCCCTTTCACTTCTTCTTTCTCAGCCGCTTCTCGCCCTCCCAACACCATTAAACCCGAGTCCGGTGCTGTTGCCGCCGCCGCCATCGAAACGTCAATCGGGTTCCTCCTATATTTTGAAAGACTGCCTGTCACGTACATGTTTCCTGTGTTTTTTTTCCTCTTCTTTTCAATTGATGCTTCTTTGGACTTTGGCTTCAATGCTATATATATATATACACACACACACAATTTGTTTATATTATAAAAATTAAGTTGGGAGAATGGTCGTTATAATATTTTTTATAATATATAATTTAAATTAATTAATTAATAAATTAAAAATATTTTAGTAAGAATGACATGGACTATTTGTCCTAAAGTATTTGGCTTAAATTTTCCCCAAAATAGTTTTCAATTAAGATTTATATTTAATATATTAAAATTATATAATTTAATATATTATTAATAAAATTTATTAAACGATTTTAGTTATAAAAGAAAGTATTACTCTTTTTAAATCTTGGGTTTAAGTTGTTTGTAAGGTATGTATATTTAATGGTTAACAAACTATAATATGACTAAAGATGGCAACGAATCAGGTATATTCAATTTTTTGATTGATCTGAATCAACTCGAGAAACATACACTCTCCACTTGTGTTCAATACAATCCGAGAATTATATTCCTTCCTCCTAAACTGACCCGATTCAACATAAATATATAATCATTTTTATTTTGTAAAATAAGAACATAAAAAATAAATATGAGGTATTTTAGCAACTATCTTTAAATTTATAAAAACAATTACATTATTACTTCAGGTCGAATCAGTGATTTTTCACTATAAAATCGAACTAGACCCGACCTTATCTTCTATAAAATCTTACCCGATTTCAGAAAAACAAAACTGATCCTATCATGGCCCATTATTCCCTCGGCCTTTTAGTAAGGTCATTCTTGTAGTTTAATGTATCCATAATGGGTACCAAGGTAATTTCAGGTCTCTTTGAAACGCCAAATTAGGGTTTCTCCTCTTCAGTTCCCCTTATTTATAATCCCCTTGCTTATCGTCTTCGTTCACCAGCCAATTCGCTCTCCGCTCCGCTCTTCGGCGCTGTTGATTTTATTGTTTCAATTTTTTTTTTCTCTTTGCATTTTCTTGTTCTTTAAACATCAAGTACTTAATCTTGATTTTGTTCCAATTTTTCTTTCATATAGTCCCTATTTATTCATTTTTCTCCGATTGCTCCCGTAGAAATTTGTATGGAAAAAGGCAATAAATTAGAGTCACTGTTGCGCTTCGATTTGAGTAGCGACTTCAGCGCTGTACGTTGCCGATAAGAATTTTTTGGGGCTGAGATTCTGGCATTTTCAATTTTTTTCCTTTGATTTTTATGCATTCAGATGCCCCTACATGTTTGTTTATCTCATAATTTGAAAATTATTAAGATTTTTGGTGTGAGATGGAAGTGATGATTATTTCCCCAGATGATCGAAGCTGAACATACTGTGCGAATGTTTAATCTCTAATTCGTTAGAGATTCCAAGCCAGAACTCTGATCAATCTCCGTTTTCTTAATTCAAATTATATAATTTTATTGTTTATATTTTAAAAAATTGTGTTATGAGATTTATTTGTTAATATGGAAGTGATGACTATTTCCCCAGATGATCGAAGCTGAACATACTGAGCGAATCTTTAATCTCTATTTCTGTAGGGATTCCAAGCCAGAAGTCTGATCCATATTAATAAAATTTGTTAAAATTTAAAAACCACATGGATGACTTAATTCAAAATAAATCCACCGATGAAGACGATGAGATTGATTCGTAAAGAAATTTCTTTGATTTAATTTATGGTAAATATTGATGAAGTTGAGTTATGGGAAATTAAGTTTTATTTGAAAATTATATAATAAAAAACGTTAATCACTTATATTAAATAAAAATTATATAATAAAAAATGTTAATCACTATATTAAATAAAAATTATTTCAGTAAATTATACTAATTTTCAGTAATTTATGCTTCTGCCTGATGTTTTATTTCAATTATTCGATTAATAATTAATAATTTAAAATTTAATTCAGGATATATATTAGAGTTTTGACTTTAGATTTAGTTCAATTAGATATTTAATAAATAATTTATCCTTGAGTTAGATTAAGCTTTTTATTTTAGATTTAGTTAGTTTTAGTCCTTTAATTTGATTAAATATGAGAATATTTTAAAGTAGTCTCCGCTTATGCTTAGGGTGCCATTTTAATTATTCGATTAATAAATTTTAAATTTATTAGGGTCAATATTAAAGCTTTAATTTTAGGTTAAGTTCTTTTTAATTCCTTAAAATTAGGTTTAATAATTTATTTGGTTGACGATTCTAAAATTAGTAAAACTATTAATTTATTAGATATTAATGATATAACCTATGCTTATGCCAGGAGGGGACTATTATTAATTCTGGAAATAAATTAATATTGTTTTTAAATTCATATCATGATTTAAAATTGATAATATAATCTCCGCTTATTCTTGGGGTGACCATTGTTAATTATTGAATCAATCGATATCCTTTTCAAAAACTTTTGCATTGTAATGGATCATTAATTAAATGAAAGCTCGAACTCGTAAATTTACAAATTAAAACAAAGTGTAATCGACAAGTTATTAATTTTGGGTGTTGTCAGGGGCTAATCATTTCTCATACGTAATCGACTCTCGAATTTATTTTTTGATCTCGTAGACTAAAATTGGTGTTTTAATAAAATATTTTTTTATTAAAATTATCCGATTTTATGTGGTCCAATCACACATTAAAAATGATCAGTGGTGACTCATTTTTTTCAATGTTTCCAAAACCTGTTATCAATACGGCTGTAAATGAGACGAGACATCGCGAGTTACTCGAGATCAACTCGATCAAGGCTCGATAAATACTCTGGTTGAATGGATTAGACTCGAACTTGAGCTCGACTCGAGTTCTTAATGAGCCGAAATGAATTACTTGATATTTGATTCGAAAAGCTCGCGAGCAGCTCGAAAATATAATATATTTAGATTTTATTTAAAAAATAAATAAATTATTAATAATATTAATATTTATATATTGATTTTTTTTTAAAAGTACAGTAAACTTTTTATGTATTTAAGGTTTAAGTTTGAGGCTTTAATCGAGTTAAGTTTAAGAAAAAAATTTATTTTGAACCTTTTTGAGCTACTCACGAGCTTCAGTTAAGGATTTCGGGTGCTAGTTTTCGAGTCGAGTCAAGCTTCATTTCAGAGTTTTCGAGTCGAATCAAGCTCAGTAATACTCGAGCTCGACTCGGCTTATTTACACCACTAGTTATTAGCTCGAAAAACCGTTATGACAATAAGTTTTCATTTTCTATGAAACTCAATTTTAGATGGAGAAATACACATAAACATAGTCTTTATATAATTATTATTAAATCGGGTGTATAACAAAGTCTACTACTGACTGCTCGCCGGCCACCATATTTTGGGGGCATTTCTCGCTCCGACTGTCAAACCCAGCGGCCGAGAAGTCCAAACGTCACTCAAAGTGAATCAAAACTCATACCTTTCTCATCTTCAATCCAAAGCCACCAAGGAGCCAAATCGACGCTGTAAATCGGTGTCCCTCACTTTTCCGACCACCACCAATGGTGGTCAGTGGAACCGAAATCAAGACCTAAGCAAAATCCAAGCCATTTCCTTTTTTTTATTATCTAAACCTAAAAAAAGAGCTCCCAAAAACGACGCAAGCCCCCTACTCCCTAAAGAGAACCGACTGTTCAACTCCATACCCGCGACACTTTATTCTGGTGAGATCTCCGACGAAACAAGGTAACAAAACTCCCTCTCCCTCTATTTTTTTGTTTTCAAAAATCAAAGAATAAAAAGGTTATTGTCCAAAAAAAAAAAAAGTTCTAAATCGATAATATTTGTGTATTAATTCTTCAATCTTATGGATTTATTGTTGCTGATTTAGTTGTATTGTGTTTATTTTCGTGCAGGATCTTACTTTCCAGAATTAACAGTAAAAATGACACATTCTGTATTTTTTTATTATTTGGTCACGGCGGGAGACATGGGCACGACTATGGGTATGACACGTTCTGACGTGACAGTTTCTAGAAGATCCAGTTAGCAGCAATTTTTTTAAAAGATCTAATCAGCACCTTCTGGAAGATGGATGGTCAGAGATATCTTAGGAGATTTATTTTTAATTTTAAAGTTTTTATTTGAAAAAATATTTAGAATTATCTTTAGAAATTTTTTCTATGTTTATTTCTACGATTTTATATGCTATAAATACCCTCTTGGGGTAAGCCTAAAGAGACAATTCATATTTCATTCTTGTTCTTGTTTCTAGTTTTATAAAGTTCTTTTTTCTTTAATTTCAAGATTTAATTTTTATTTTATTTTAAGTTTTATATTTAAACATGTTATGACTTTTGTCATGCTTAGCTAATTTTCTTATAAGCCGAAAGGTTAAGTGATGACTCAATTCAGTATGTGAGAATTGAAAAGCTCTTAATATCTTCAGGACGTCACTCTCAGTTTTCTGAAAGACTTGGATAGGTAATCGACCTATCATTGAAAAATCAAAAAACTTTCTTTTCAAAAAGTCGACGTTGGTCAGAATGTTGTTCTGATTTAAAGTTGGGAGGAAAGATCGGCGAATAACAAATACGACTTCTTATGAACACACTTAACGGCAGTCCGCTAAGAAAAACTGAGATCGAGTTAAATTCTCAAAGAGACAACATAATCTGTGTCGAGCTTTTCCTAAACGAAAATTATTTTTGCACTAATGACAATTGTCGTAGTTGGTTCAATTAAAAGCTGAATTTCCAAAGATTGATTTTGGGAAAATCGGTTACAAAAAAGAAAAGCAAGTTACATGGATAATGCTTTGTAGATTGTAACCGGCGTGAATCCCGAAGTGAAAATTCAATTTCGATGATTAGAAACAAATTTAGTCAAAGCGAGAAATGAGACTACTTTTTACTATAATTATTTTTCAAATCTTTATTTATTTTCTTTATTTTCACTTTAAATTGTTTTTTCTTATTTAATCATTTTTATCAAAACTCCTCCATTTTATTTACTGCATATCGCCTGGTCAAAGCAATTCAAACCAAAATTTGAGAATTTTTTAAATCATTGTGGATCGACATTTATTTCTTTTTACTATGTATTTCTTTCTTATATATTACTGAGAAAAAAAATTATTTTGACATCAAATCGTCAAATTCCTTTCAAATTTTCTTTATTTCTATTGCTCTCTTTTTCGAATAGGGAAAGATCCCCTTCCATTTCCTTTTTTCTTGGGTTTTATAGGAATCCATATTACGAAATGGAATCTTCTTTCATCTCCATTTTTTTACGCTATGTTATTTGATTTTTTTGTATTGCATGTGCTGACGAGGAGGAGGGGGCTCGATCAAGCAACGTGGAAGCACTGGAGGTCTATCGTGGCGTCCTGGAGGCTGACTAGGGCTGCTGTGTGGACAAGAGAGTGTTGGGACCACTATTACACGAAGGGGTCTGCTGGCTTATACATACATGTAGGCACTAGGGGGCTTGGTGCATGGACTAGAGGGACCACCAGGATGACGAGGCTGCTGGAATGTGAGGTGTCCAGTTAGAGGCGGTGGCTGGAAGCTTGATGAAACCCAACTTCTAACATTTGTAACACTTGGGCCACGGTTGGGTCTCTTCAGCTGCTGGCCTTCAAATTTTGGGTATCTAATATATATTTGGGTTGATGGGTTAATTGAGATGGATAATTTTGAATGTAAATGGTATTTAACATATATCGTGGAATTATGCATCATTTCGATTGCCCCAAATTTGAATATAAATGATATTGAAATTCTTTGTCGGACACTTGTACTAATGTATCAGACTCAAGTTCATAGTCCTCCGATAGTTAGGGTTTGAAGGTTCTGAGGGCGTGACAATATGCATTAAAATCATCATAAAATATATTAATCATAATTTAGTTAGTTTTCATATATCGGAGTCCCGTAATTCTCGAAGAAACTCGTCGTTCCGAAAGAACCAAATCAGGTATTGTACTCCAACAGCCACATCATGTACCATCAACCCAATCCTACCACCCATCCAACCTCCAAATTGGCTTCCCAGAAGATACCCAAACCTCCCAAACAATTGCTCACCGAAAAATCCTCCACCGTAGGAACCGAGCAACATCCCTTGACCCCTAAAAGCCCCTTCGGGCAACGTCCCTCCGTAGTAAACGGCTTCGAAAAAGTCCTACCCGGACGTAATGATCGGACCCGTGATTCGGTCAGTCTGTTCCGTCGCCAGCATGGCCGCCTTTTTACCGACCTTCTCAGCTTGTTTCTTCGCGTCTTTGAACGCAATGCCCTGCGACGTCGCGTCGTGCAATGCCTTGTCCATTGCTAGGTGTTTTGCTTTCACAACACGAGCACTTCTCATGTTGTAAACATAAAGTGTGACGGCTTGTTTGGCTGTACAAGCAATGGAACCAGTGCTGAAATCAAAGCAATCCAACCAGGAAAATTTACCAGTTTGGGATAGTGTCTCTCTTTGTCCCCCGGCTAGTTCCCTACACTTCTCAGCTACAGCATGAAATAATTACAAGAAAAAAAAATGTAATATAATGATTACTATTCAATACACTGTTAATATAATTACATGAAAACAAAGATATTCGAGTTGTTACCGGTGATCTTAAGAACAATGAATCCGATGACAATGAAAAGAAAAACAATTCTTTTTTCTACCATGTTAGATAAAAAGAACTTTCACGTTAATGGAAACGACGATTATGCTACCATGCTAGAGAAACATCCTTTACCTCAAGGAAAAGAGCTACCAATTGACAGGCATGGCGATTATGCTACCATGCTAGAGAAACATCCTTTACCTCAAGGAAAAGAGCTACCGATTGACAGGCATGGCGATTATGCTACCATGATGAACGTCGTCCGCTCCGACACGAGAGACGACCCCCTATTGACGAGCATGACGATCATTCTACTATGCTAGATAACGTCGTCTACTCCAAAAAAAAGAATCTCATGTTGACGAACATAATGTTTATGGTATCATGTTAGATATGTTAGATTAAAATCTTCAATGTTGGACACATATGTATAATATATAATGATATTATAAAGTATGATATAAAGTTAATTAATCAATTATATTATGTGTCATAGGTATTAAAATTTATAAAAATAATATGTATATATCATAAGTTGTATTTATATTTTAAAGATGGTCAAATTATCCATAATTAAAAACTATTTTAATAACGAATCACACACCCAAAAATAAATTAACTTATATTTTTCTTCCCCATCAAAGAGTTTTACGTTTAGATAAAATTTATCTTCTTAAAATGACCAAAATCTTCTACGAAATCTACCACAATGAATTCAAGTATACTTCGAGATCTAATTTTTATTTTCGTTGGTTTGATATGACATAAATGGGTTATTAGTTTTCATGTTAATTACGCTTTCAATTATGTTTTGATTCTATCAAGTGATATCAATATCTCGTCATGTTAATTATTGATAATCAATTGATCTATTTTTCAATTTAATTCGTTTTTATTTTTTTAGAGTTTTAATTTTGATATGACATGTTTAAGTTTTATTTCAATTTTCATCTCAAAATTTAAGTCCGGTAAAATATCATCAAAAGTCGGGATGAATCAAAAAAGATAGAAACTTCTTATTTTTGAGTAAGAGTACTCAGGGTGACAAAAAATCTAACTCGTCTCAACTTGTGCTCATACATTTTTTTAATAGTCTAAGGTGATTATAAGGTAGCATCTGTTTATAATTTTTCTTAGCCTATTAACAATGTGCATACACTCTATAAACACAACTCCTAAAACCTGAATCCTTTAAAGATAATCACATTCTCCTTTTACCAATGAAATCATTCAATATATATATATATATATACACACACGATGTTTGCTTGGACAACGACCCTCCGTAGTAAACGACTTCAAAAAGGTTCCTCCATAGCATTTGTTCATAATTTTTCTTAGCCTATCAATAATGAACAAATACTCTACAAATACAACTGCTCGAACCCGAATCCTTTAAAAAGGATAACATTATCTTTTACTAATGAGATCATTCAATATATATATATATATACCTTTAAATTTGTAGAAATAACTCAACGCAGATCGCCATGCAATAACCCTAAACGTGCCCATAAGGTCCGAAGGTTTCAAACTAAGGGTATAGGCCATTTTCAATCTTTTCTTGGCATATAGATGAAATAAAAATTCCTTGTATTTTAGAGAGAGATAAAATTTAATAAAAAAAATTAATAAAAAAATAAACATTGAAAGAGAAAAAATAACAACAACGACAAACTTTCCATGAATTACTCAAAATCTTTTATCTTCTTCAATCCATTTCTTTCCCTTCTTTTGATCCCCAATCTTTCTTTCTCTCCATCTTAAAGCTTTCAAGTCCTTTTAATAAACCATCAAATACCCATTTTTCCTCATCAATTATTTGCAAAAACCGGACAAAAATCAAGTCGGATTAGCTAAAATTTGCGGGGAAATTTGTGAGTGGAGAATCGCTGAAGGGAAAAGGGGTGATGATGACGATAGAAGGAGTAATGGACACGGCGGTTTTGGATGATATAATACGAAGGTTATTGGAAGGGAAAGGAGGGAAACAGGTTAAACTTTCCGAGGAAGAGATTCGTCAGCTTTGCATTAATGCTAAGCAGATCTTCATTTCTCAGCCTAATCTTCTTCAGATCAGTGCTCCCATTAGAATCTGTGGTTAGTTTCTTCTTCTTTCTCCCCTTTTTTTTCCATTGAAAATGTTGCAATGGTTTATGAGAATTACAAAAGGATTCCAATGTTGGGGGAGTTCATTTCCATGCCCATTGCCCACAATAGTTAGATTTGAGACCATTTCTTTCCTTTCTATTATGAAATTTAGGATTTAATTCTTATATTATAGTTTTTCATAATCTAATAATTTATTTTTATGATGTTATTAATAAGTCCAAATTGATAATATGATTAATTATTTTAAAAATATGTTTGCATGTAAAATTCTCAAGGATGCTCTTAAATTAAATTTCATTATAAAACTTAAAGATCAAATTATGTAAAATTAAAGAGTGAAGGAATTGTTGATATAATCACATTTAGAGTGGGGAGATTGTTGTATGTAAATCATGATTCAAGTCATGGTAAATCCATTTACCTTTTAAAAAATAGAAGGACTATATATCAAAGTTTGACATAGTTAAGGGACTGAAACTATACTTAATTTTTTTTTATATATGAGAGCGTATACAATTCAAGTAGAAGGGGCCAATTCAACGATTCATTTTCTTTTTTACTCTAACTGCATGTAATGGTGGAATTTAGGATATAGTTCATAGATGAGAGAAGGGTAGAGTTTAGATCTTGAATGTACAAATGATTAAGAGTACAAATATATAGAATTTTTTATCACAATCTTTTTTATATATATCCTAAAATTTGATATATCATTCTTTTAATCGTTCTTATAAAATCTATCTCTACAATATAAATAATGAAAGTCACAATAATAATAAAAAATAAAGTAAACTACATAGATACCACTGAACTTTAACTATTATATCGTTTATGCTATAATTGGCAAAATTGAAAGTTCAGTGGTATAAACGATACAACGCCTAAAGTTTGGTGGTATCTGGTGTAGTTTACCCTTAAAGTATTACACCTCTTTAAAATAATTTTCTCTCATAATTCTAAAATTTAATACTTTATATCTATAGAGAAAATAAACTTGGTCACAAATTTTTTTTTATCCAAATCAATTTAATCACCAAGTAATCTTCAATCGTTAGAACTATAATAAAATTCAACTTAATTATCGTTTAAAATTTGAATCAATATGTAACATTAATTAACAAAGATTTAGACTCCCATTGAGGAGTAAAATTGGGGTCGAATTTCTAAAATCTCAGGTTCAAATTTATCATGTGTAAATTATGTAGGGGTTCAAGTCCTACTCACATCATTCCTCTTTAAAAAAAGAGGGATTAAATATCAAAGTTTAACATAGTAAAGGGGCTAAAACTATAATGAAAACATTTTTTTATATACAACTTAAGTAGATGGGGGACGGGTCAGTCCAACAATCCATTTTCTTTGTCCAAATCATTCTGATTCAAATTTTTATATTCGACCGTACGTGTAATTACTCGAATGTATTGATATTATAATATTTTCCCTTTATAGGTGATATCCATGGACAATACCAAGATTTGTTGAGGGTATTCGAGTACGGTGGGTATCCACCGGAATCGAACTATTTGTTCCTTGGGGATTACGTAGACCGAGGCAAGCAAAGCTTGGAGACCATATGCTTGCTTTTGGCCTACAAAATAAGATGCCCAGACCGGATTTTTCTCTTGAGAGGGAACCACGAGGACGCTAAGGTCAACCGGATCTATGGGTTTTATGATGAGTGCAAAAGGAGATTTAACGTTAGTCTTTGGAAACTTTTCACCAACTGCTTTAACCATTTGCCCGTGGCTGCACTCATTGATGAGAAGGCGCTTTGTATGCACGGTGGGTTGTCTCCGGATTTGGAAAAATTGGATCAGATCAAGGAGATCGAGAGGCCAACGGAAGTTCCCGACGGTGGTCTTCTATGTGACCTACTCTGGTCCGACCCTAATCCGAATGTAGAGGGTTGGGCGGATAGTGATAGAGGCATTTCGTGCACTTTCGGTGCCAATGTTATTGCTAACTTCTTGGAAAAGAATGACCTCGATCTCATTTGTCGTGGTCACCAAGTAAGTCATCTCTCTCTCTCTCTCTAACCCTAAATTCCGAACTAAACTCAAACCCTCAACTTGCAGCGTTATGATTGTACAAACTAACTGAACAAAACTCCCAATTCAATAGCCAATTTCTTTTGAGTATTGAATTTCAGCATGAAATACGTCTAAGTTAGCTTATGGACCAAGAAAACCAATTTCTTTATGCTTGTGGGAAAAGTAAGCCAGTTTCTTTATACTTATGGATCAAGTAAGTCACCTCTTAAAGTTGATCGTATAAACCGATTGAGCTAAGCTCCGAGTTAAACTCGGGTGTGAGTATATGATAAGTGTATGTTCAACTTTTTTTTAAAATCTTCATGTTTTTGGAGAGTCATATTCTCGTATCGATGTTCACATTTGTCGAAAATGAACGTTAGACACGAATACTTCTAGTTATAGTTTATATCATCGAACTTGTCGGGGTTTAGATTAACGTAAAGTTTTGAATTGCAGGTGGTGGAGGGTGGGTATGAGTTTTTTGCTAATAGGAAATTAGTAACAATATTTTCAGCTCCAAACTATGGTGGAGATTTTGACAATGCCGGTGCTCTGTTGAGTATTGATGAAGCTCTTGTGTGCTCCTTCGAGATATTGAAACCAGCAGTGCCAAGCAATAAGGTCAATTTAAAGAAGGTACACACACTTAATGGTATAAAGTATAAACGAGACATCTTGCTCGTAAACTACTCATATTCATCTCGAAAGATATCCGATTTTGGCTCGATTATGTTCGAGTCGAGCTCGAGCCAGCCAAATTCAATTATAATAATGCTTGTCCCAACTAACTTACAAGCCATACCATCAATCTTTCATACTTTCAATATATTCAGGGGCGAAGCAATAAAATTTTTATTAAGAGGCAAAATTGGATTGTAAATTCTTAGGGGGTGTCAAAGAGAAATTTTACCATTTTATTAACTAAAAACTCTACAATTTTGTTATCAAAACAAGACTTTTATCAAACTGTGGGGGACCAAATGGCTATCTTACAATTATTTACTGAAGATTTTACAAAACCAAAAGAATAATTTTGCCAACCCCAGGTGCTGCCGTTGAATATATTCTTTAGTCGTTAGATTTTTTATCTCAAATTAAATTCGAATCAAATTCTAAATCGAAAATTCGAGTCGAGATGGAGTTTCTTACAACTCGAACTAAGTTCGGGTTCATTAGACCCCTATCCTATGCAATGCAAATCAATGTACATTAACTCTGTTGCATCTATGTTCAACAGCCACAGAAGATCGGAACAACCTGATGCGGCGTGAACTGAGAAGTTTCCGGGAGGGATGTTGTTGATCGACACATACAAATTTCCGACAAGCTCGATCGGAAAACTGTACTTCGGTTTTCTTAGGAAGATTTTTTTTTTAATTTTAAAATTCCCCGGGGACTCAAATGTTCATCAGTGGGTTAATTACAGGCCAAATTATAAATATATGTCTCAGAAATGGTGTTCCAATATTGAATGAATTACTAATTGGCTCTTAGAAGAATTATTTATATATATATATATATATATATATAAGTTCATGACTATTTTAAACTTGCCTTCTTCTTAGCTTGAACCTGAATGATACCTTCATTGAAATCTTCATGGTTTACCTGTAAATCAGACCAGAACCCGATTTTCGAAGCTGCTCCTTATGGCTCAAATGTTCACAAGTACAACTAACTACAAAAAGAAATGCAAATACACGCAAGATTAAAAAGTGCACCTCGGTTGCATCGCGTCGAAGTGCTAGCATGCCTGCCTCCACACATCAGAACGCATTGAAAGTCCTACCTGAAGGATTCGGGCTCTAGCTTCTTCAGTGGGATGTGAACTCGATTTTACGATCCAGTCGACCAGAACGCATCAGGGCAGGGTCAAGGACATCGTCTCGGTTAGTTGCTGCTATGACCTGCAATGCATTGCATTACAACACGGTTAAACCTCTGAAGCATAACAGGTTATTTTTGCGCAGTGATTTGACTCTAGACTGCTGCAACGTTTCATTAATCATACACCAGAAACGCAAACCTTAATACGTTCGCCTGACGAGTCGAAGTTTTCAGCACAACACATTTACCCTTCCTCTGTGAGTCAAGATCAATGCTGGCACCATCCTCCTCTGCGTCATCTTCAGGATTCATCTCCAATATCTAACAGAAACAGTAACCAAGTATTGAAACATCCAAAACAATCTTTCAGTCAGTTAGTGATTAGGGATGGTAATCGAAGCTAACTGGTCTTCTTCAAAGTTCGAATCTTCTTCCATGGCGGTCGCCATCGATGACGGATGTCAAAGAAACGGTGACTTTAATCGAAAGATAAATCAGAGTCCACAAAACAACATAAGAAGAGAGATGAAATAGGCGAAGATTGTTTTATACATATTCTTCTAATCTTGGAGGCTTGGATCCAAAGAAATCTTAATTAAAATTTATCAAGAAATCTTAAAAAAATATTTATGTAAGATGATTATTATTTAGAAAATTTAAAATATTTATATTTTTTTAAATGTTTAATTTTATTTATAAATATTTTAAAATAATCTGAGGTGATTATAAGATAATATCAATTTAAAATTTTTTTTATTAATCAATAGTGAGTAGACATTAATATTTATTCAAATATAACTCTCAACCATTTGACATTGAATATTGTACCCGTGCTTAAACCCGATATCTCAAGAAATAACAACAATTCATTTGCCAACGAGATTTATGACAACACTTTCTTTAATCAAGAGAAACAAGTACTGCTTCAATAAGGAACATATTTGAACAATTATTTTAAATAGTTATTTGTTCTGAACAAGTCCATTGTCGTCCAGTGGTTAGGATATCTGGCTTTCACCCAGGAGACCCGGGTTCAATTCCCGGCAATGGAATTTTTTTTTATCTTTTTGGTTTTCTATATTTTTAGTTGTTTTTTTATCTTTTTATCTTATGGCTGCAGTGGCGGAAACAAGTCGAGTAGCAAATAAAATATCTTCTTCTCGGTATTTGTTGCATCCTCCGATAAGATTTTATGGCTGCAGCACGTCTCGTAGCCGTCCTATGGGATCGAGATTACCGTAAATGTGTTGAGGCCACAACTTGTCTTGGATTCAACTTCCCTTACGCGGTATTTGGAGCATCAAATTGTTGTTACTGTACTTCTTGCTTTGAATTGCTCGTGTATGCACAAACATTGTATGCCATCTATTTCATGGTATAGCTTGCGTTAGTTCGGCTGACAGAGGAAACTCTGAACACCTTGAAGTATGCTAATCGAGCTTGAACCTTGATCGCAACATCATTTAACATATAATTGTTGAACAGATAATACAGTATTTATCTTTAAAACAGGCTGCGAATCTTCTGCTTCGTGTTTGCTGTGACTTTTGCTTTCGTCGTCGGTTCATTTTCTCCTTTAAAGGTACTCACTGTCACGAATTTCATTACTTTTTGAACATATGTACATTGAAACAATACTATTTATAGCTAAAAATTGATAGCTAACACGGAAGAAGCACTCTCTGATGCAGGAAGAACTAAATCTATTGATGCCATCACTGAAAGAGAAAACGGTCCTATACTAACAAACGGTGATGCCATCCATAGCTCTGAAGATGCTGGATTTAGAGTTGGAGAACTCTTGCTACCGAACCGTGGATTCTTATTCCGGCTCAATGCTCGGCAGCATGCCGGGGTCGAGGAAAACATGGCCTTCTGGAAATGTTTATGAGGGTGAATTCTCAGGTGGGATATATATTGGCTCTGATAAATTGACTTAATGAACGTTGAATCTAAAACAGGATATAAACTTGAAAGAGGAAGCATCTACTGCTTCAAGAGAAGAAATTTTGGAAAGAAAGAGTGATAGTTAATTGTTGCCAGTGAATCCATTGTCGTCCGGTGGTTAGGATATCTGGCTTTCACCCAGGGAGACCCGGGTTTCAATTTCCGGCAATGTAATGCATGTTTTTTTGGTCATGTTTTGCCTTATATTTTGGATCATGTGTGTACTTTTTGGTGTTATGTCATGTTTTATATCATAATAAATATCATTGGCTGCACATCTTTCTCTTATATTTTCTTCTTCGTATTTTGTGCATGTCCCGGTAAGATTTTATGGCTGCAGCACATCTCGTAGTCGTCCGGTGGGGTTGCGACTCTACGTGGTAAGAGTTTATGGCTGCAGCACATCTCGAAGTCCTCCTATGGGGTCGCGACTCTACTGTAAATGTGTTGAGGCAACAAAGTGCAACTTGTCTTGGATTCAACTTTCCTTGGTGCAGACCATCATGATTAGCATTTTCTCTTATGCCAGAAACACTTTAGTTTAGATCAGTTTTGTTGCTGGAACATCTTACTTTTCATTAATGGAATTTCAAGTTTCGTTTGATTATTTTATAATGCAAAGTTCAATCTTGAATAACGCAGTGTGTTCTGCCAGCTGATCTTGGTGAATTTCTGTCTTTTGTTGTTCTGATTGAGAAAGGTCGATACACTTTGTGAATTACTTTCTAGCACTACAGGTCCCAAAGAACTGGCTGGGGTGACTGAGGCAGAATTCCGGAGAAAAGAAGAGACGACATCGTACTTATCACGAGCTTCTTTATGTTGTGCCATGGAGAGTACCGATACGAATAGCCTATCAAGGTGAGTGTGTGTGTGTTTTTCTTCTTAGTGAACCTTATCTGCAAAGCTTCACTTAGTGATCCTTGCGGCTCGGAACGTGCAAAACAAACCGGTGTTGATGCCGGTACCCAGGTTTTTGCTTTGAATTGCTCTTGTATGCATAAACATTGTCTTGCATCTACTTGTATAACTTGTGTTAGTCCAGCTGACACCAATGCTGAGGAAACTCTGAACATCTTGAAGTATGCTAATCGAGCTTGAAACATTCAGAACAAGGTAAACCATGATCACGACATCACTGAACATATAATTGGTCGTTGAACAATTACGTAAATGTTGCTGGTGCATCGTATTTTCCGGTTTAGTTCAACGTCGAAGAAGATTTTCTCTTATAAAACATGCCTTCACCATCCCAAATTTCTCATTTATATGAATTAGACAACCTTACCTGCATAATGCAGTATTTATCTTCAAAACAGGCTGCGAATCTTCTGCTGCTATTATCGTCGACTCATTCGCTCCTTTAAAGGTACCTGCCTCGTCTTTCTTCACTGAATATATGTATATTGAAAAAAAATACTATGTATAGCTTATATTGATATCGATAATGATGCTTCAATGTTTGAGTTCGAGTTGATTTATGTACACAAACATGGAAGAAGCACTTTGTGATGCAGGAAGAAGTCCTTTACGTTGTAAAGGACTAATATGGAATTTCTAGAGTTAACGGGAGCAATACCTGAAATTTACCGTTGTCTTAACTTAGTAAAACACTCTTCATGTTTTATATCATAGTGAATGTGATATTCGTGTCCAATATTATCAAATCAAATCAAACGTTTACGCTAAAGATAATAAAATTGGATACTAACATTGTAATAGAGAAGATTGGTTCGAATTAATCTACCGATTGAGGTTAGGATAAAGTACATAAATGGTCCATCGACTATAGAATGTTATTTTATTAAGTCTTCCGACCATTAAAAGTTATAAAATGATCTTTTAACTATAGAGTGTCACTTTATTAGTTGGTCTATCAGGAACCATTAGTTGGATATGAATCCAATAAATCTGTAACTACTGGGGATTTCGTTTCACCCTTTTTTTTTCAAGGTTCAACCTAGATTCAATCGTTCTTGCGATTGTCGTCGTGTTTCCGATCCGTATTTTAAGATCATTGATGGTGGCAAAGGCAATTGTAAAATTATCAACAATCTTAAAGATTATACAGAATTCCTATCTTTCCATCTTCATCAAGTATATCCATCAACCTGCAATATATTTCAGCTAAATGTATCACTGTAATGGTGTTCCTTGCTGCATGTTCAAGACTCCTTGAAAGATGATTTCTACCGAGTCGGACTCTTGTTACAGACGCTATGTAGGCGGCATGCTGGATCTAGCTAACGAACTTTCTGCAGTATGATAGGAAATAACAGTCTTAGAACACAAGAATGGACAGAGATTGACCTTTGAAGCAGCCCGAGTCGATAGACTGCAGACTTGAGGATATGCATATAATTCATCAAAGTTTAAACAACAGAGCACCGTAGTTTGTATGCTATTATGAAACTAGCTCGTTCCCATGATTAGTTCTACAAAAGCAAAATGGAGGAGAATTCACATACAATGAATAGTATCCACCACCCGGCCACTAAAATCCATCCATGACTTTGATGCCGGCATTCTTGTCCCACTCCTCGGGAGAAGCAACTTCCGCCATTACCTTTTCTTGACCACGCCACAGGATCTGTATCCAAATCACGTCTCAGCTATGTTACTTGAACTTGGGTTTGAGTATCGAGTACAACTTAGTACCCAACACCTTTATATGTTTTTATATGTATTTAGAGGGTTCTTGGACGGTCATATCTGCATACCGTCTGGATATGCATCGGACATGGATACTAAAAGAAACATGAGGAATCGGAACAACAAAGCATCTCATATATGCAAGAAAAATAGCACTACCAAACATTTAACTGCACTTACCTTGTCAATGACCCCAAACTCTTTCGCTCTGTTAGCATCCATATAAAATGGTCTTCTCATCACATCGGCCACTGTCTCTACCGACTAATGAAATATAAAGTCATACAATGAGTTCCTTTTTTTTTGTGGTGGTGGTGGTTGGGGTGGGGTGGGGGCGGATTTCTGTTTTTAACAAACAAGTCTAAAATTGATTCATCACTCACATTTCCGGTGTGCTTGGCCAGAAGTTCCACAAGTGTGTCCCTGTTTATTAATACCTGCAAAACAATTTACAGAAGTTCCAGGATGATGAACAATTGAAAGAGAAAATATAGATTTATATATATTCAAATATTATTGTTAATCGGAGTAACATAACAGAAAGTGAAAGACCTGATAACATTTTCAGTGGTTTTAGCATTTTCGAAAATTATGTCTTATCCTCCAACCAAACAAGTATAGGACTAAAGGGAAGAATCAACATAAACATGACATGCATCAAGGTTAAATCCACAAAATCATAGTTTCAATACATAGGCATGTGCGTGTGGAAGATTCCATAAATTCTAGACCCATGCTTAATTACACTTACTCAGTAAAGAATAATAACTTTCACTATACCTCTTTGGCACGTATAAGAACATCACTGGCCGGCATCAACCCTGATGACGGGACACGAGGCTGCTGGATCATAGCTGAAATAGAATACGGGCAAACACTCGAGAGGTTATATTTTAAAAGATAGCATCATAGGAGAGAGTCGGTATAAGTTTAGAATCACAGACAAGATAGCTGCATCGTACCTTTAGCATGAGGCATCATAAACCGATTACCCTTGGTTCCTGCTGAAAGCAAAAGACAAGCCTGACCTATAGCAGCCCCAACAGCAACTGTATGTACCTTTGGGGCACCAATATAACCAAGTTATGAAGGAATACCGTGAATAATAAAAAAGTTGAATCTCGTTCTTGAACAAAAGTAACATAAAAGTTATGAGATCCAGGGAAAATTTTCATCTCAAAATATAGAAAACAAGACAGACTGATATCTTTGAAGAACGAAAATTCACCTCATTTTGTAACTGCATAAGTGCATCATAGATGGCAAAACCCTCCGACTCCATTCCAACCTGCAATATAAGAGCTTTAAATTAATGTAAATATAGACTGTAAAGAAAACCAACATTTGCACACAGAAACAAACATAATATATAGCAAGCAGAAGAAGCTAGTGTTTACAATTCAGAGACTATGCAGTTCGTATACAGTTTCATATTTTTAGGTTTACATGCACTTAATCTACACAAAAGACATGGAAAACCCAAATTTTAACTCAGCGTACTTTTTTCTTATTAAATAAGAACCAAGGTATGAGTCTTCAACTTACTTTTTTTTCTTATTAAATGATAACAAAGATATGAGTCTAACATAAAGATATGAGTCTAACATCTCCAGAAGCTATGCAATCTGTAATGTATTACATCTTAAATTCATTATCCAATTTGAAGGTATCATATGCAAAACTCACCGTTTCACCATCATCACGAGTTGTTCCCGTAGAGTTTATGTAAATATAGATTGGTTGCTTGGGATCCATCCATTGAAGATACATTAGTTCTGCAACTACAAGCTCTGTCACTGCAGGCACAAGCTGAAAGATAGAAACAATCAAACTGTTTGAACATATTACAGTAACAACACAACAGTATGAAATAGGAAATGATACTCTTAGCTTGCTTTCTCGTCTGAGAGATTCATGAATCAGGATCCTAATACATATAGATACAAATGGTCCAAACAAGAATTTCCAGGAAATAGTTATCTCAAAACTCTTAACAAAATTGCAAGAACATGAAATTGCAGTTATCCACAACCTCATGTTGCAATTTTTATACAAATAATTTATAAACCTCACCCCCACCCCCAAAAATAAATCAGAATTTGGGAATACTTACCGGCATGCCAATGTAAACTATTCTACCGTTAAGAAGCAATGAAGGTAAGTCCGGTGGAGGGCTTTTCGGCCTGTGCTCATTGTATGACACTGATCTTTCCACCTAATTCAGTTCCAATGAATGATTATTTCGCAAAATTTCAATCAATAAAAATTTAACCGCTAAAGTATATTTTTTAGAAAAACCTAATACTATATCTGGAAACAAGAGCTCGAAAGTTTTTCATTCGCATAGTTTCAAGTGATGATTAGTTCGCATAAATTTTCCATTCGTTCATGCATATAAATTTTAATTAATTCATTAAAATTTTATATAATTCCATTTAAAACCTTCAACGTTCATGCGAAAGAAAATTAACAAAAATAAATAAATTAAATAATAAAACATACTTGAGCGGGAGTTGCCATGAGCTTGGGAGAATCAAACAAGTCCAAAAACGGCGGCGAATCGGGATTAACCGAGCTGTTAACAAGCGATTCGGGGGAAGAAGAGGCGACGGAAGCTAGCTTCGAAAGAAATGGGTCCTTAGGGTTTATTGGAGGCATAGGGATTTTAGCGGCGTTTCTGGCACCCAAAGCTCCGCAACTGAGCTTCAAAGGCTTTGGTACTCGAACAGCTCGAGAAGAAGAAGAAGATGAAGCTGAAGATACGATTGCGTAAGCCATTGGCGCCTGTAAGAAACACGCCATGAATTCCTCCTAAGCTTTGGATTTTTTTCCTCGAAAAAACTGTTGTTGTGGAACGTGGAAATTCGAGAGGCGGGGGAAAGAGTTCCGTGTTTTCAGTTCAATATCCGGAACCTGAATGTAGTTATCCGGGTCAGTTCTCCGGGTCGGATCTAACAGCGTAAAATGGTACAAGATTTGTACAACCAAATCTATTCAAATAATAATTTGGGTAAACTTCGTATTTAGTCATTGAACTATTCTCATAGTTCAGTTCTATTTCAATCATTTAATTATTTTTTTCAAAATCATATCAAAATATCTTTTATTATCCGTTGTTGAAAAAACAAAACGATTGATATGACAAATTTATATATTTTTTAATAATGATAAGATATTATCTTATGATGATATGTCAACATCACCGTTGATTTTTTAACGATGGGTGATCAAATCATAACTTTAAACATAACTTTTAAGTATGATTTTTTTTAAAAAAAAGTTGGATGACCAAAACAGAATTGTAGAAATTGTTGGGTAGCTAAATATATAATTTATCCTAATAATTTTAAATATATAATTTATTACAATTAGACAACTTAAACAGTAAAAACTAGTTATAATCTAATATGAAACATATAGCGATGATCTTATTATAGTGACAGTGGATTTATTATGGTATTACATCTGCCACGAGAAATATATATTTCATATAATTACTATTATGTAAACTAATCATATTTCCCTCCACTGAACACCTTGGCAATCTTCTCAGTAGGAACCAACGGCAAAAACGTGGCGACCATGTAACCCTTCTTGGCACCGATAGCCACCGCCTCGTTGTAAATTCCGGTGAAAAAGGCGGCAGTCGGGACGGCTACCGAAGCTACTTGTGGGAAGAGAGGGATTCGGTTCAGTTTGCGCCAAACCGAAACTGCACATTTTTCGACTGTTGGCTCGACGATGTCGAAGACGGTTTGTGCCAATGAAGGCTCCTCTACTTGATGTTGGACCTCCAGAGACCTTTGCGTGACTGCAATAGGTCCGGACGCGAGCTGTGTGATGAATCCAGTGGTAGCCAGACCCTGAGCTACCTCAGAAGCATTTTGGACGGTCGAGATGGCTTCGGACTTGATCTGCTTGATGAATCCTGCAGGGGCACTAATCAGTCCAGTATGTTGGACATCGGGAGCGGCGCCACTGGCCACTCCTGAAGCGATTTGGCCGACCGATGTGGCTACGGATGTAGCCTGCTTGAAGAATGGGGATATAAGACCATCGATCTTGGTTGTGGCATCAACCTGCAATAAAAATAGAGAACACTTGAATGTCATTCCAGCATGAAAATAAAGAAATGCAAAGATGAATTCTAGAGGCAATGCTTACCGCTCCGGCGTGCTGGACACCGTCCACAACTTGGAAGCCTGTGACCGGGTTCGACGAGGCTTGTTTGAGGAATCCCGACGCAGTACTCAGCACTCCAGAACCGGGCAACTCGGTAGCCAAACCAACCACTCCCGGAAGGTTTTGGACCATCTTCATTCCAGAAGGAACAAGTGCATCGATCTTACTCAAACTGCCAATCTTACTCAACTCTCCAAGATTACTCAAATCTCCAAGTTTACTCAAATCGCCAAGCCTACTCAAATCGCCAAGCCTACTCAAATCGCCAAGCCTACTCAAATCGCCAAGTTTACTCAAATCGCCAACCTGCAATAAGAACAGAATAAGAATTCTTGAATCTCCGTTCGTTTGATATACATCATCGAGCATTCGAGCCTTTTCGAGCTAAAAGGCTACGGAATTTCTGTCAAGATCGCAGTTTTGCAACTCAACCATAAACTTCCACCAATGGTTTGAAAAACAATATTTAGTTAAAAACCAACTATGGTGAAACAAGCATTACCTTGTCGATTAAATCGAAAACTTCAGCAGGGACACCAAAGAACTTTATGAGAACCCATCTAACCAGGCTCTTGACCATTTTCGCGAAAAACTTTTGATACAAGCTAATAACCACTCGCTCGATGGCATCGATGATAGGCTCCAACGGTCTTAACATTTTCTTAACTCGAAAGTAGAATTTGACTAAACGGAGAGCGGCTGCTTGCACTTGTATGAAGAATTTGATGTATTTCATGTACTTCAGAATTTGAAGTTGTTCGGGAATCTTCGGTCCGATCAACAAATAGAAAGTATAGGTTACAAAAATTCAGAAAAGAATAAATAAATAAATAAAACTTCGAATTACCAATAATGAAAAGTTTCTTGGGGGCAGAACTCACCAATCCGGAATTCTGGACCTGACTAGCCACACCTTCAATAGCCGAGATGGCTCCGGGCGAGATCTGATTGAGGAATCCGGAGGAAGTGCTTGGCACTAGAGTACTCCGAACCTCAGTAGCAGGCGTGTCAACAGTCAGTCCTAAAACATTTCGGCCTACCGAAACGACTTCGGATAACGGCTCCTTGATGACTGAAGGGAGAAGACTGTCAATCTTAGTCACAAGTTCACCAATCTATAATAAAAACAAAGAAGAATTACTGAATCTTAGTCAATAAATATTTGAGCTCAAAAAATATTTTCATGAAACCATAGTTTGTAAGTCAAGCAACAAACTTTCCCACCCGTTAACAATATTTTGTTAAAAGACCAAATATGATGAAAAAGGCTTTACCTTGTCATCGGCAAATTCGAGTAGATCATAAAAGACGTCAAAGAACTTATAAAAAATTGGTCCGATCACGGTTTTAACTAATGTCTCAACTATCTGAAGAGCAGGCTTCAAGGGTCCGGAATTTTGCTTCAGGGTAGTGAAGAAGTTGGTGAACAACAAAAACATATGGACAATGGCTACTTGCACAAATGCCAAGTATTTCAGCCTCTGAGTTTCTTCTTTAACCTTCAAATTCCAATTTAAAAAAATGGAAATTAGAAATAGAGAAAAAAGATCAACTGAGAAAATTGTCGACCAGCCACCAAATGTAAATACCATCTAATCAATTTATAAAGCCTTTGAGATGCTCAGAAAATGCAAATAAAAGAAATCATGAGGCAATGCTCACCGCTCCTCCATGCTTCAAGTCAGTAACCACGCCTTGGGCAGCTGAGATGGCTTGGGATGACACATCCTTGATGAGTCCAGTGGCAGTGCCCAAAATTCCACCATGCTGAACATCAGAAGCCAATCCAGCAGCTGCTCCTGCAACCTTTTGGGTGACCGAGATGGCATCAGATGAGACCTGCTTGACAAGATTATCCATCTTAGCCAGAGATTTGCCAACCTGCAAAACACAGAAAAATCTTGAATTTCCTCTCAATTTCTAGATATCATCAATCTTAGAATACACTATGTCAATGCCATTTTCAATTTATTAGTTTTATACAATTTTTAAGCACCAGAAACAAAAGAAAGTGTAAAAAAAGAATTATAGAGCTAGTACTCACCGCTCCAACATGCTGGACCTCAGTAGCCATACCATGGGCGGCAGAGATGGCATCAGATGAGACCTGCTTGAAGAATCCCGAGGCAGTGTTCAGCACTCCACCACTCCCAACCGCAGTAGCCACTCCTGGAACATTTTGGACAGCCGAGATGGCCTCGGATGAGACATGCTTGACAAGTCGATCAATATTGGACAAAGGTTCACCAACCTGCAGTAAGAACAAAGAAGAACTCATGAATATCCTTTCATTTGCTTGACATCATCTATCTTAGGGTACACTCTACGAAACCATACATCGGAGTTACGAAGTTCTGTAATTTCTGTTAATACCACAGTTTCACAACTCAAGCACAAATTTTGACAACAGTTAATGGTTTTGAAACCACGCATTTACAATGGCTTTTTCAATATCACAACTCTTATGATTACACAATAGAAAAAAATAACTACAAAAACGAAGACAAATCTTTAATGAAAATACCATCTAATGTAGTAAGTTGGATTCCCTTCAACCATGATAGAAACAGCTTGGCTTTAGAAGTTGAGGAAAATTTTCTGCTCTTTAAGAAGTTGAAGGATATATTACTCTTGTTTTGGTTGGAATTATGAGAGAGAAGACAAAAAAAAAAGACTTTTCTATAGGCAGTTTATACCGGATTCAATTAGCAGCCCCATTAAGCAGTTAAGAAAAGTGTAGCATGGTATAAATATCACCCAATCATTTTATAAAGCCTTTGTGATACTCAAAATTTTATATTTAATTCTATTTTTTCTCGAATTCATAGTTTATACCAGATCTTTAGCAACCGGAAAATAGAAAAAATGCACAGAAAAAAATTCTCGAGTCTGCACTCACCATTCCAGCATGCTGGACCTCAGTAGCCACACCTTGGGCAGCTGAGATGGCATCGGATGAGAGCTGCTTGACGAAACCAGAGGCAGTGCCCAACAGTCCAGAAGGTTGACCCTGAGGAGACACACCCGGAGACATTTGAGCAGCCGAGATGGCATCGGATGAGATCTGCTTGACGAATCCAGAGGCATTGCCCACCAGTCCAAAAAGTTGACCCTGAGGAGACCCTCCCGGGGACATTTGGACAGCCGAGATGGCATCGGATGAGACCTGCTTGACAAGTCCAGAGGCAGTGCCCAACAGTCCAGAAATTTGGCCCTGAGGAGACACTCCCGGAGACATTTGGGCAGCCGAGATGACATCAGATGAGACCTGCTTGACTAACCCAGAGGCAGTCCCCAACAGTCCAAAATGCTGGCCCTGAGGAGACACTCCCCCAGACACAACTGGAGACATTTGGGCAGCCGAGATTGCTTCAGCTGCGACATGCTAGACAATTCGAAGGACAAAATGATCAATGTAAATAACATATTGCCTAACCAGCGAAAATAAAATAAAATCTTAAATATATTTTCATTAGCTAGACATCATCATTCTTAGGATACTCTTCATTAATGAAAACTTTACGCTAAAAAGTTCTGTAATTTCAGTTTAAATCCCCAGTTTTCATAGTAGACACTAGACAGCAGCCGATAACGGCGGTGACTAAGAAGTTAAGAACAAACAAGGGTCGGCCAACCACTCGATATAAAACATCACACAATCACTTAATATAGCATCTGGGATACTAAAAATAGACTTAAGTTTTGTTTCTTAACTTGTATTCATAGTTTAATAACAGTAAAACGAAAGAAAATGAAAAAAAAAAGTAGCAGTGCTCACAGTTCCAGCATTCTGGAGCTCAGTAGCAACACCATGGGCGGCGGAAAAGGCGTCGGATAAAATAGGCTTGATGAAGCCAGAGTGGGGTGCCACCAATCCAGGACTACGAACCTCGGGAGCCACATCACCGGCAACCTTATGAACGGCCGAGGCTGCTTCACTCACCTGCAAATAAAAAGAAAGAACAACTGTTGTCTTCCTTACATTTGATAGGCACCATCGATCTTAGAAGTCAAAATCAGCATTTGGCGGTTCGACTTCAAAAATATTAAATGATTTTGGATTTATAAAAACATTCAATGAAGTTTATTGTTGGACTCGGACTTTTAAATTCAAAAGGTACAAGGTTAAATTCTAACTATATAAGGAGTATAGGGACTTGTAATGTATTTGAACCTTAGTTTTAGCTTGTTAACAAACATAATTATTGGCATCTATTTTCTGATGAAAATAATTTTATTAGGTATAAATATCTGACTTTTATATTTAAATATTTATTTTAAAATGCTAGTTATTATTAACAAATAATAAATAAATTATTTTAATAAAAAAAATTGCATGAACATTTGGAAAAAAATATCAAATTTTAGAAAGTGCGAGCAATGATGAAAGAAATACATGGATGGATAGAAAAAGTATCATTATACTTTGAATTATACCTATAAACAAAATAAAATATTATCTAGAAGTTTTAGCATGTGACAGTCTTAATATACTATTAAATAAAGGCATTTGTTATTATTATTTTTAATAAAATCAGTAAAAGTATCTAAAATATTATTATTTGTATTATTTTTTTTACATTTACTGTAAAGTACTCAATAATAACAAAACAGATAGAAAAAATAATGTTTTATGTAATGTTTTACTAGATATGTTAACAAAATCAGTAAAACGTCCATTAATAATAAAATTAGTAAAAATAATATTATTTCTGATAATATTTTACCTAATTTATTAAAAAAATAATAACAAAATCAATAGCACTTTTCCTTACCTGTATATGTATATTAAGACTGTCAAACTTCATTCTACCAACAATCAATGTTTTTTCACCTCGATATGATTTTTAATTATTTTAAATATTAAATTATATTTCTCCCCACGCTTGAAAAAAAACAGCACTTGTATTTTCTTTTTGCAAACGATGTTGAAATCATAAGTTTTCAACGTCGTTTTCAAAACAGCAATGAGATTCCGATCCAACAAACAAGAAAAACTAAGAGAAAATAACGTTCCAAAGTTAAAATCTCTCGTCGGTCAACCTTACGAGCAAGACAAGTTGTGATTTCTCTCGACGATTTTTCAAATTTTGAAATGATTTCCAGAATCCAGATCGCATATTTGCAGTGTGATTTTCAAAAGTACAACGAAACCTCGATCAGGAAAATAAAGTTAAAAAAATCTGCAAAATAACGTTCAAAAAATGAGGAAAAGGAATACCACGCCGTGGAGAAAACTGGAATCTCCATACTGATTCGGACGATTGGAGAAGAACGGAGACATTGAAGAAGTCTTCCGAGCAGCTTCAGAGACGTAGCAGCAGAGAAGAGAAAAATAACGAGAAATATCAGTTGCGTTTTGCGTCGCCCTGCGGCGTTGAATTACGAGAGAAATAAGCGAAGAAAAGCAACGAAAATCGGTGTCCTTTATAGCAGAATTGATGGAGACGGTGATTTAATGTGCATCACCATGGTAATCTGTTCTATTTGACAGTAGCTGAGCTGTGTAGTGGAATCTCGATGAAAGAGAAAAATCTCAAATACAGATATGCATGCATATATATATATATATATATATATATATATATATATATATATATATATATATAATATTGATTTAAATAGCATTTTGGTCCCTGAAATTATATCTTATTATTATTTTCGCAATTAAAGAATTTTTTAATTCAATTTGATTTGATACTTTAAGAACATGTCATGTGATGTATAATAGACTTATATCATAAATAAATACTTAAAGTATATTATATTTTTAATCTAAGTAATTAAAGTATTTTTTTTTATCAAAATAAGTACTTAAAGTTATCATTTTGGTCAAAATAGATACTTAAAGTATTAAATCTTTTTTCATCTAAGTTAAAAAAAGTTGATATGTGATAGTAATTAAAGAATACTTTAGGTTCTAAAATGAAAAAGATAGTATACTCTATATACTTTTTTAACTAAAAACTATTTTATGTATCTATTTTAACCAAAATGATAACTTTAGGTACTTATTACGATCCAAAAATACTTTAGGGACCTAAATAAAAAAATAGTATCCTTTAAATACTTATTTATGATATAAACCTATATAATATATATTAAGTTTGATAAGTACACACGCATTTATAATTCAATCCATGCGCTTTTAAAAATATTGCACGTTAAGTTCGAACTAATATTTTAACACGTAAATTGATGACTAGATTGATGAAAGACGTGATTAATACAATACTAACACTTTCAGTACTCGATTGTATCAATTAAAAAGTTAGTTATCGGTTTAAAATCTAGACAATAATGCGAGATCATTTGATGAAATTAACCCTAATTTTAAACATCTATTCAACCACGTTAAAAGTTGTCCCGAAATCAATACAATTCTCCAAGTACAAAATTTGGGTCATTAACTGGGTGAAACCTAGGCAATGTCATTTATCAAACTCGTGTTTTATAATTTTGGTATTTTATGTCAAATTATGGTTTAGTCCCCTATGTTTTAATCAAGTATAATTTGGTCATCTACTTTTTATTTGTATCTTTGTATCATTGTACTTTAATTTGGTCTTCTATTTTAATCAATATCTTTAATAATATTATCAAATTCGACCATAAACATCATTCCGGCATAACTATCGATATATGATTAATCTATATTGAATTCTGTAAAAATCAATTATATAAAAAGTTATTTAAATTTAATTTTTTTTATTTACGATATTAAAATTTAAATCTTTAATTCAATAGAGGGACCTTACGCCTTATCGTGAACAAATCAGTAATTAGTAACATCTTTAATTGTACATTCCATCATTATTTTTAATTAAATTATTAATAAGTCCAAAATAAGTAATAATCTTATATATATATATATATATATATATATATATATATATATATATACACACACGTTAAAGTTTAGGTTAGCGGTGGCTTTTCTGATTTAGGGTTAGAGTATACGTAAGATCTAATTAGAATTTATATAGAAATTTACAGATTATTCACAAAAAATTACGGTGATAAAATTCAAATTTAATTTTAACCATTTGTACCAACATCGATACATTGTAATAACCTATTTTATGATAATTAATTTCAGTGTTGAATTGAATAACATTAATGAGTAATGGATAACATGTGGGTTTCAGTGTTAATTAAATAACATTAATGAGTAATGGATAACATGTGGGTCTTCGTCGGTCCACATTCCCAACGACCCTATAGATAACTATTAATCAATCATTTAATTAAAATCGTCAATAAATTAGGTGCATGAATTGATGGATATGATTTATTTTGATTCACGTTTTTTTATTTATTAAATTGGATTCGATAATTTTGATTAATCAGAATTAAATTATTGAAAAAACAAATATTAAATTTAAGTTATATTTATTTTCTTATTATTCAAATATAATTAGTTTTTTACTAAACATACATTTTAAAGAATGATATAATATTGAAAGAAATAAAATAAATTTTTAGATTAAATAATAAATACATTCTTGTATACCTATCGTTTTCAACATATTTTCAAATAATTTTCATTTAATATTATCGAGCATTTTATTTTTTTAAACTTGTTAAATAAATGAATAAACTGAAAATATTTTTTTAATTGTTTAATTTTTTAAACACGTTTGAAAATATCGTATATGAAAATATTATTAGACTTATAGAAGGGAAATCGTTCATATGTTAGAATATCGATTGAATCATTGTTTAATAATGAACTTTTCAATTTAAAATTAATTATAAAATTATAAAAAAAATCATTATTTTAAATTTAAAAAAAATGATAATGGGACAAGTTATATGAATTGATTGAAAGTAATAGGGTCCCTTGGCCATAAATAGAGTCTGTGTTGGCTTCCTACTAGATATGCACATAGTCGAATTTAAATATGATCCGGATCGGATAAAAATCGATCCGATTTTTTTACTAAGCTAAAAAATCGGTTTATAAAAAAATGGGTTCGGATCATAACCGGTTTGGAGGGCCGGATGATGTAACCGGTGTAACCTGTTTCGGTTTGAAAAAAACCGATTTTTTAAAAAAACAGGTTTTTAATCTGGTAAAAAAATCCGGTCATCAAATTTTTTAAACCCCAGCCCGGATTTTTTTTCCGGATAAAAAACTGGTTTTTATCCGATTTTTTTCAAACCGATTTTTAATCCAGTAAAAAATCCGACCGTCCAATTTTTTCTCAAACCGGTTATACTATCCGGTTTTAAAATATCCGATCCGATTTAAAAAAAATCGATTTTTCCCAAATCCGATTTCAAATATTTTTTACACAAAATCAGATATTCTGATTTTTTGTACACCTCTACTTCAGACAAGAGGACCATTGCCTTACGATCTCATCATCTCAATAGATTTGTGAAGGACCTTTCTCATTATAACTACCCATATCCATGTCGTACAAATAAAGTTTAATCTTATTATCGTTATTTTTAGTGAGTAATCTGTAAATTTTTATATAAATTTAAATTAAATTTTAAGTATATAGTAATCTTAGTCTAGGGTAGCCCTAATTTTATTTTGTATATATATATATATGAAAAACAAATACTAATATAATACAAAATTCTTAATTATGTTTTGTACTTGTCAATATTTATTTTAATTTCAATTCATAATGTTTTGATTAACAATCTATCTATTCTACATCATACCCATTAATTATAATTATAATAGTTAATGATAAAATTAGCTCCAACGTTTGTTATTAGACTTTATTATTTCTTTTATCATTTCGGTTCTTAGAGTTATATTTTAATTTTTGCCAAAATAACTCAAGTTAGAAGAAAATAGGTAGTTGACTAACGGTCAACATATGTTGTTGGTGTAGTATTTTCATATATAATTAATTGATGACATGTCACATACAATCAAGATAATTAGTAAAATTTCTTTCAATTTTATTAAAGTATAATAGTAAATTAAAGCAAAGGTACTACTAAAATTTCTTAAAGCAGAGGCTGAAATTCAAAAATTATACATTTTATTAATTATTAGTTTTTCTTCCTAACCCTCGTGATTCATGTGAATTATGTATTATATTTGTCCAATCTTGGAAAGTTTCAATTCAGTTTTAAAAAATCAGATGCCATTTTTATTTTTAAAAAATTGGAAAATATAACAATATATTTAGTTATTTTTTAAAAAATAATTTTTTAAACAAAATTAATATATATGAATAGAAAATAATAAAAATTATTTTTATTAAAAATATTTTATATAATTGAAACATCTGTATATGTATACCAACAACCAGATAGTTTAGTGCGATGAAGCACTAGATCTGGTAAACAAAGTCAGATATTTGAATATTGACGTTAGTGAATGGAGCAAATTGGCCTAGGAGGGTCGCTCTTGACTCTTCAGTACCTGATCCGGATTAATTGATCAATAGATTAGATTTTAGTGGTTATACCCTAAAATTTTTTTAATATAATAAATTAACTCTTAATTAAATCCAGAGTAAACCACACGGGTGGCCACTTAACTATTATTAGATTTCATTTTGACCATATATTTTTTTATTTAATCAATCATACCACAAAACTATTTCAATATTTTAATCAAACCATTTGCCGTTAACATTTAACAGAGTGACACAAGAATTAAAATATTTTTATATAATTATATAATTGGTCCTTGTTACTTATATATTCTTTCAATTTGGTCCTAATTTTAATAAACTAAAATAAATTTAACATTCTTCGAATCAGATGGTGTCATGTGTCATTGATAACAGGTGTCATCAATTTATATTAAGTAAATTATATTGAATGAATAATTATGTAACAAATTTATATTATATTCAATTCAAATTACTTGATTAATAAATTAAATATAAAAAATTATAAAAATATCAATTGTTTTGATAATGATTGTTTAATAAAATAATATTTAATATTCATGTTTGTTTGAATTTATTGAAACCGAACTCTTCTTTCTATATTTTTAATTAAAGAACATTAATTTATTTAAAAATAATAATAAAAGTTATTTCCCTTTTCCAATTGAAAGCAACACTTTGTTTCCTAATTCTCCTTTCTAATCACGTAATTTTCTTATCATAATTGTGACAGAGAGAGAAAAGACATCGACAAATAATTGATCTTAAATAATATAATAATAATTTCTTAAAAAATTAAAAATATCATTAAAATTTAATTTTATTACATATTTTTTATTAAATTCTCTTTTATAAATTCTCATCAAATCTTAAGATTTGAACAGTTTATTTTAAACCTTTAAAATTCTTAAAAGGGTAAAATACACGTTTGGTAATTGAACTTTACTCTCTTCTATTTCACTCGTTGTACTTTTAATTTTTTCAATTTACTCACTGAATTTTATAGATTGATTTTTTTAGTCACTCTACCGTTAAAAAATTAACAACAATATGACATTGTCGTATTTTAATTAAAATGATGTC